AAATGTGACTTTTGCTTCTGAAAAGTGAGTTTTTAACTCATTTTATAGGGTTATTATTACCGTTTTTTTCAACGTTACCAAGCTTTTGGTAAATTACCGTAAATTACCAATTTTTCCGGTAACGTTACCGGTAACATTACCGGCCGTCGCAACCCTACCCCTGCTCCCTTTACTATGCTCGGTGCTGCGTCTCCCCCTTCCACTCCCTTTGCCAGCTCCGCTCAATCTAGTGCCGTGCTACACGTATGCTGGTTGGCGAAACGAGCCAGTGGCAAGTAGGCGTGCACTCTTCTGTCCGCATATCGAGAGCTCGGGCCAGGCCACCTGCTCCCCTGCGCTGGCTGGGTGCCGGCTGCACTGCACGCCTGAGTCGAGAGGGAGAGAGAGAGAAAGAGAGAGAGAGAGAGAGAGAGAGAGAGAGAGAGAGAGAGAGAGAGAGAAAAGAGAGGAGGGGGGCTGAATGAGAGGCAGCAGGTGAGCCGGGACGAAGGCCGAGGCTTATCGTCGGGCGGAGAGGGATGGAAAAAAAGAGATTAGCAAGGTAAATGAAATACCTTTGGTTATTAGCTCGGGAGGCTGCCGGGCTTCGCTTTTAAAGTGAGATGACTTCGTTTTTCGGAATTAATTTGGACGGTAATGACAATTAAGAGAGGTGTGGCGGGAGGCGAGAGGGGAAAGAACTCACTCATGGAATGTAAAACTCACCTGCAATTTTCGAGTCGTAGGCCACGCCGACCCCGCACACGTCGTTGTCCCTGGCCGCCGACACCTCGCCCGCGCAGCGCGTCCCGTGGCTGCGCAAAGGAACATTTGATGCGATGTATACACAAGTACCGAGCCGTCACACAAAGCAAGAGAGCAACTAGACACAAGATTTTGCGGAAGTACATTTCCTGGTAGTCGTGGTGCGCTGCTGCGACCGAATACAACGGCGCTATGGTATCGCATCACAAAATGAAAGACTTCTTTTCTGTGTTCTTTTTTTTTTTTTTCGTTTCCCGTTGTTTGTACACAAAGACAACAACAGAAACGGGACGCTCGAGAGGTCTCTCCATACCGTTCATATTCTTCGACAAGACAGCAGGGCGGGCGGGGAGTCGAGTGGGAGTGGTCGAGAGGAGGAAAAGACGTTTGTGGAAGCGGTGGTGGGGGCTGACGGGGCGGGCAGGGCGGGCGTCTCCTGTCTCAGCGCCAAGTTACCGCGCGGCCAATAACTTGGAGGTGCCCCCGAGGGGGCCCGCGCGGCCGCCGTCACTCCACGGGACTCGGGTTATTGAAAGCCTCCTGACAAGAGAGGCGCTGGGCAGGGGGAGGCGGGGGTGTCTAGCGCGTCGTAAGTGGCGACCTCCCCCAGCCCGCGCATGTGTGTGTGTGTGTGTGTGTGTGTGTGAGCGAGCGCGTGTCCAGCCCGAACCCAGCGGGGGGCAAAGCGCCCGCAGTATTCTGATTGCCCTGATTAAGGGAGGTTTTCCGTGGCTCGTTTCGCTTCCCTCTTTGCCGAGCCCCTGCCGCGCCGCACCCCTGCCGAGCCAAAGTCTGTCCGCCTAACGTCAGGCCCGCCAGGGTGGGGCAAGGGCTGGGCGGTGGTATGGAGAGGCACGGATCGCCTGCCATCTCATTTTAATGACTTTCTTAAAGAGTAACCGAACCCAGCAGCAGCAGCAGATCGAAACGTTTGACAAGTTAGAGCTCTGCTGCTGCTGGCTGCCTTTACTGGTTGCCGTCGGGACGGCGACCCCAGCAGCAGCAGCAGCTCCGGAAATCAGGGCTAACGCGCGTCGTCGGGGCCGCCTGCGGTAGCCTCTGCTGCGGTAAGCCCCCACG